ATGCTGACTAATTCATTTGGGTTAGCAGTCATCAGTATGAGAAATGGCAAAATCCCCATGCGAGTTTCTGGATGTTCAACATACATATTCACCAGTAAAATCTTTCCTACTGGGAAAAAGTTTTCTCCTTATGAGTATTTTCCCTTTGAGTCTGGTGCTTCTGTTGCCAATAGAAGCTATGCTTAGATGCACTTTAAGCATAGTGAAACATATCAGCCACTGAGACACATGAATGGAAAGAAGCCCACAAGATTGGGCATTTTCTTACCAATACCCCTTTGGGACTTTTGCCTGATAAGCTAGCTTTCCTGCTTACAAGTAGCTTCGGGTGCATAGAAAGTCTACCTCTAGACTGACCCAAGGTGCATCCCATTGGTCCACAGGGGGGGGGGTGCTAGAAAGAGAAGAGCTGCCCTTGGACGTGGAAGAATGACAGTTGCCAATGGAACAGTGACTTTATCAATCAGTAGAAAATTAATCTTGGGGACTGAGATTCAATCTGTTCTAAAAGGAACTGTGTTCCTCCTGACAAGCCAGGTTCATAGTCTGGAGGTATTCCTTGATTCTATACGGCCCATGGATTTGGAGGTGGAAGTAGTAACAAGAAGTGCCCTTGCACAATGGCATTCAGCATGCCAGCTGCAACCTTTCCTGAATTGACCTGGCTACAGTTATTTATACTTTAGTTACATCACATCTTGACTCCTGCAATGTACACTATGTGGGGCTATCCTTGAAGAGGATTTGGGACCTTCAGTCAGCACAGTATGTGGCAGCAAGGCTGACAAGTGGTGCATGGTACTGAGATCTTATAACCCCCATACTGAAAGACATATACAGTGGTGCCCTGCATAGCGAGGTTAATCCGTTCCGGATTAACCTTTGCTATGGGAAAACATCATAAAACAGATCCAAAAAACCCATTGGAACTCATTAAACAAAGTTTAATGCGTTCCAAATGGGCCCAAAACTCACCGTTCTCCGATGTTTTCCCTTGTTCCGGCAGCCATCTTGGGTGTACCGGTGGCCATTTTGAGCGTCCCGGTGGACATTTTGGGTGTACTGGTGCCATTTTTTGTGTTCCGGCGGCCATCTTGGGTGTACCGGCGGCCATTTTTTGTGTTCCGGAGGCCATTTTGAGAGTCCTGGCGGCCATCTTGGGTGTACCGGCACCCATTTTTTTGTGTTCCAGCGGCCATTTTGGAACCGCTGAACAGCTGTTCCCCCATCGTAATGCGAGCATGCCCTCGCATTAGTGATGGGGAAATCCGCATCGCAATGCAGATTCATCGTTCAACGGTGCACTCGTTATACGAGGCACCACTGTACTAATTGCTATGTGCTTACTGGATCAAATTCAAAGCACTGGTTTAAACCCTCAAAGCCCTAAACAACTGGAAGCATGGCTATGTAAAAAATGTAAAGCACTATCAATGTTGTTATGTACCTGTTCAGGTACATAACAACATCCTCTTGACAATTGGCAATAGCTGCAGAGGCCCACAAGAGACAGTTTCTTCTCTGCACGGTCATTGCTATCTGCTTACTGGATCAAATTCAAAGCACCGGTTTAAACCCTCAAAGCCCTAAACAACTGGAAGCATGGCTATGTAAAAAATGTAAAGCACTATCAATGTTGTTATGTACCTGTTCAGGTACATAACAACATCCTCTTGACAATTGGCAATAGCTGCAGAGGCCCACAAGAGACAGTTTCTTCTCTGCACGGTCCTCTAATTGTGGAAGGTACTCCTCTTAAGGGTTGTGCCCATTTCCCACTCTCATAGCACTTACGAAAGTGAAGACACCACTTCTGAACAAGATTATAATATTGTTTGATTTATGGTAATGGTTTCAATGGTTCATGGATTGTAATGGTGGTGGGGGTCTATTTTAATGGTGGTGGGGGTCTCTTTTCCTTGATTTTAATAAATTTTACTTGATTTGTAATAGCAACAATTAACATGGCAACTTAAGGGGAACATTCGGTCATTCAAAAAGTTATAATTCTATCAAGTTGTCCCAGATCACTTATCAATAATTTTAAACAGAGTCCATGGGAGCACCCTTCATTTGTTTAGTGGCTTGACTGCATTCCTTATTGTTAGAATTTTTAGGCAACATTAAAACATTAAGCTTAACAAGTGATGTTTGGGTGTATGCCAACGCAGCACGTACCATCTTGTTGCTCAGTTTCAGGATCTGATAGTTTACACTGATTTTAAGTTCTAAATTTCCATTCTGCAAATATTCTAGGATTATACAGTGGTGCCTCGCTTAACGATTGCCTCGTTTAGCGATGAATTCGCATAACGATGTGTTTTTTAAGAAAATAATATGCCCCGTATAACGATGTTTCCTATGGGCGATTTTCGCTTAGCGAAGTTGGGGACCATGCTTCGCATAACGAATGCGATTTTAGGTCCCCTGCTTCACTTAACGATGTTT